ATTCATCTACAATTCAGGCAATATAATTGTCACAACATTGGCTGTTTATATGAAATATACAAACATTTCAGCTCAGATGATCTATAAAGCATTTGAGTCCACAATCAATGGACTTTAATTTCCTAGTTTTAAATTTAAGGCACCTACAAAATTGCCTTTTTGTGTTGGGATATATATATCGCTATAAGGGGTAGTTTTCTACTGAGATTGGTAAATTATTGCAAGATTTACATGCATACCGGTCAATTCCCATGTATTTACATTTCTAGCATCTAAACCACAATTTTTACTTATGTACCACCTTACCTATGTATGAAAAGGTATATTTCACATTTTTTAAAGTTAAATTGGTGGTTTTGCTAAATGAAAGTCTACTTTAGTTTTTTGCACTGGTAGAGCTTTCCAGTGAGTTCCAAACATCACATTTTTTTGCTTTCTTCTTATTGAACTTCAGAAAAGGCTTCTTTCTATGAGATTTGGTATTGGCTTGTTTAGCATTCTTCCTCAATGAGATCTTTATTAAAATAAGAATTTATAGACCCAATCTTGATTGCTTTTTGCATATTTTCATTACAGTTCTTAAAGTCATGATATTGAATTGTTCGTTTACAGAGAGTTCGCTTTAACATAGATCACAAAGTGTTGTTTTGGTGTCAAGTATTTCAAATGTATTATCTTTATTGGAGTATCTTCCATATCTCTATCAAATCTCTTGTGTATGAAATTTTCTCTTATTATTTATTATCCATGGAGTTGATTAGCATTTTTTTTGCTGATTTTATACCTTTGGTTTGGGAGGATGGAACCTTTTCTGCTAACTATGTTGGTTATAATTGCTTTTGAGATTGAGTGTGGCCTAGGGATGTAATTGAGTCGTGCCGGTTCAAGCTCGACTGGTTAACAAGCTTGCTAGTCGAGCTTATCGACCCACGAGCTCAAGCTCAAATTCAAGCTTGTTATTAAATGAGCTTGAGTTCAAGCTTGTTGAGGCTATGCTCATCAACTCGCGAGCCATGCTCGACTAGTTGATTGATTGTCATGTCAATGCCTTCTTTGGCAAGCTATCGTCTCACTTCTCCAACCATTGATGCCTTCACAGGTAAGCTCGCATGATAATATGATTTTTGACTCAAACCAAGCCGACTTGCCAGCCTGGTGTCATCATTGCGAGACGAGCTCGACTCAACTTGTTTACACTGATGTGTTCTTGGAGTTCGAACATTCTTTTCTCTTTCACACTATCATATTCTGTCATCTTGCCATTCGCAATGTTGAATGCAAATGATGGAAACCTCCTCCTCCCCTTCTTGATACCAACGGATACTGCTATTAACTTTTCAAAAGTGACATCCATATTCTTAGGTTTATGACACCAACATATTATAAATAAACATTAGGTGTTTTGAGATGTAATTACAAAGGAATTGTGTGATATGCATGTAAATTTTCCAAATTATATATAGAAATAAAGGGAACTTGTTTGCAGAAGATAATTTAATTTTAGTGCAAGGCAATCAGTATTCATTACTTTTGATGAAAGACAAATTCCTTAAATTTATTTTGTTGTTCTGACTAATTCTGCTGTAAATTGGGAGTTTGTCTTTGTCTAGGTGGAGATAAAACCAAAGCCTTTGGTAATAAATATTGAAGCTTTATCAACCCTATTAGTTGCTAAACTTCAACATTTACATACATATTAACACAAACTTTAATTTATATAGCTAAATCATCTTACCTATGATCAATGCAAATACATAATAATCATATGGTATGTATGTAAGTGTCTCTTTAATATATTATATGAACAATCATTTCAATTATTATTTCTAAAAATCTGCATATTTTGTGATCTGCCTGTCTTAATGTAGTGGTTGCAGGCTTTGTTCTATCTATTTCAGCTGAAAGTTTAATGTTTGTAAGCTATGTACTAGTTCTTATTAATGAAACATTTACACACATGTCACTCAATTCTCATGCATTTATATATCTTAACATCTAAACTTTTGATTTTTTACATACATACCGCCACGTACATCTTTCGTTTTAAAAGTTAAAATGGTGTGATATGAAATATTTGGATGGTATAAATGTAGTGATAGATTTTTGTGATATGTAAATACATGAGAATTGTACGGTATGTATGTAAATGCTACATGATAATTTTGTGGTAGGATTATAAGAAATAAATTAATTTTCGTATGGATATTTTAAATTGTTAATTTTAGCCATAAAATTAATATTAAGATGAATAAAAAAGAAATTTGATTGATTAATCATATATTACATTTGTCTTATAATATAATTAACCATCTTAATTGCTTGCATTTAATGCTATCAAATATTAGTCTAATAATCAACAAGTCAACAAGGACAGATTTGTAATAAATATTTTTGCCCAAGTGCTCATAAGTCATGAAATTTTGGTTCGACTCTCAGTACTCCTTTTTTTTTTTTTGCAAAATCAATCAAATAACAAATTAAATGTGTAAATGAATAAATAAATATTTATTTATTTATTTATTTATTTTGGGTTTAGGGTCAAATTATTAATTCATCAATCAAATACCAAATTTATAAATAAAATATTTTTGCAAGAAAAACGTACATCTTTTGTTTTAAAAGTTAAAATGGTGGTATTTTCTTATGTGATATGAAATATTTGGATGGTATAAATGTCGTGATAGATTTTTGTGATATGTAAATACATGAGAATTGTACGGTATGTATGTAAATGCTACATGATAATTTTGTGGTAGGATTATAAGAAATAAATTAATTTTCGTATGGATATTTTAAATTGTTAATTTTAGCCATAAAATTAATATTAAGATGAATAAAAAAGAAATTTGATTGATTAATCATATATTACATTTGTCTTATAATATAATTAACCATCTTAATTGCTTGCATTTAATGCTATCAAATATTAGTCTAATAATCAACAAGTCAACAAGGACAGATTTGTAATAAATATTTTTGCCCAAGTGCTCATAAGTCATGAAATTTTGGTTTGAATCTCAGTACTGCTCTTTTCTTTTTCTTTTTCTTTTTTTTTTCTTTTGCAAAATCAATCAAATAACAAAGTAAATGTGTAAATGAATAAATAAATATTTATTTATTTATTTATTTTGGGTTTAGGGTCAAATTATTAATTCATCAATCAAATACCAAATTTATAAATAAAATATTTTTGCAAGAAAAATAGTAGACAGTCGGATTTAATTTCAAGATAAATAATAATTTTGTGGGATTGTAGTTTTCATAAAACAAATTGCTATCTTGAATAAAAATAAACAAATAATATCAAACAAAGAATACATTTTGCTGGTTGTCATCTTCTCATTGTTCCCCTCAAAATTATCATTATTGCATCGACTCTCAGTACTCCTTTTTTTTTTTTTGCAAAATCAATCAAATAACAAATTAAATGTGTAAATGAATAAATAAATATTTATTTATTTATTTATTTATTTTGGGTTTAGGGTCAAATTATTAATTCATCAATCAAATACCAAATTTATAAATAAATCATCCATCGTGTGCCTTAGAATTCGAGTATCACACCCTACACTCAGGGAAAATCAAACACCAGACTAAAGGGGACTTACAACTGACAAACAGATGTCTGATCAAATGATCTGAGTACGCGGAGCATATATATATATATATATATATATGAGTTTTTTGAATCCTCTCTAACACAGTTTGTCTTAAGGAGGTGATACTCAAATTGTTAGGGATATTAAGGGTGGTTGATGCTACTATAATAACCTCTGGTCATTCCTCATTCCTTTTAATATATATACATATTTTGAGTGTTCACCGTTCTGTTGGTTGACATCTACGATATAAGACCCCTCAGGTAAGTTTTTGGAATCCTCTCTAACACAGTTTGTCTTAAGGAGGTGATACTCAAATTGTTAGGGATATTAAGGGTGGTTGAGGCTAGTATAATAGTCTCTGGCCATTCTCCATTCATTTTAATATATATACATATTTTGAGTGTCAATTATGTGTAATTTTTCAATGCAACAAAACTACTACATAGTTTTACTAGATTTTTTGGATAAATATATCTAAACTATTCATAGATTTTGATATATTTTGAATCAAGCTTTAACAATATTTATTTTGATATAGACACGCATGCGCAAGCACCGCCTTTCCAATGCATGAAATGGTGCATCTCACCTTTTAAAACTTAAAAAAGTGGCATTTTAGATTTTGGCATGTAAATACACATGATTTGGGGTGGGATTCTAACTTAATTCAAATTCCCAATTTATATTACAAGCAAATAAGTACCTAAAAGATATCCATAATTAATATAACATGAAAACAAAAAATCAATTCAATATATCAAAGTTTTCAATATGATAGTTGTTTTTTACAAATCTATCCATCCCACACAACATTATGTAAATTCCTCTAAAGTTTAGTTTACAAAAGCATCCTAACTGAATTCAATTTGTCAATTTACAACCAAATAAGCATATAACATGAGAGGAAAAGAAACAATTCAGCAAATCAAATTTTTCAATATGAACCTTTTTTTTTACAACAAATGAATCCATCCTCCCCACAACATTATTTCACCTCACCCCCTATTCTTCTACTATATTTTGGCTTCTCCTTTCCCTTACAATTACATATAATCCTCTCTGTATAAAAATAAACCAAGGTTTTCCTCAACAAAAAAGAGGCATTTATACACAAACCACACAATTCTTTTGTATTTACATGTATAACGCCTAAACATTCATACAAGTGCAAATATCAAAATTTGGTTGTCAGATGTGTAAATGCATAAGAATTGTGAGATATGATGTACATCCAAACCACCTAATTCCTGTCCATTTACATATCAAACTCCTAAACTTTGCTTTCCACATACATACCATCAAAAATACCACTACCATTCTAACTTTTAAAAAGTGAAATACACATTTTCATGCATGGGTAAGATGGTATGCATGTAAAATTGAAATTAAGGACTTAGATATATGTAAAAACATAAGAAATGTGTGGTATTTATGTAAATTTTCACCAAAAAAGAAAGGCTAATCAAGGGCTGCTTTGTTCTTCCATGAAATTATAGGCTTAGGCAATCCATCAAAAATAGGCCTTACAACACCATCAGGCTTCCAACACCGTTTGCTGGTTCCCCAAATGGCTGAAAAACTGCTCTCAGGTTCACTCAGGTTCGAGGTGCTTGATGACTTTCGAACCGAAACAAACACATCCGCCAACGACTCCATAACCGACGAAGAGCTCCGGCGAGAAGCTTCAATCTCCATCATGCTCCCAGTCTTCGGCCTCAAAGCCGTGCATTTACCCGTCCTTCCTGGAAACATTCCTCCAGCGCCTTCTACCTTGAGCAGGATAGCCGCCGCCAGCGGCTCCGCCGCGGGCGCCTTCTCCCTTGAGCAGGATAGCCGCCGCCAGCGGCTCGGCATCGGCCTTCTGTCGCCTTCTGATGGATCGGTCGGAGTGAGTGCTGTCTTCAGAGACATCACCATCGGCGAGCGATGCAACATTCACCAAACTATGGCTCTTTCGATGGCGACGGAGGATTGGATCCGAGGTTGGTGATGATTCTGAAAGTTTTTTCTTTTCCGGAGGGAGAGGGGGAGTTTTTTCTGAATTGCAGAGAGCCATTTCAGGTCGTGTGAAGCCATAGAAGCTCTGTAAGCCGCACATTGCGGGGGAAATTTGGTGGTTATGGCGGTTTGGTTTCAATTTGAGGGATTCAAGAGAATTCAGGATGTCATAATGGGATCTGTTGGGTGGACTCTTCTCTCTGCAATATGAGTCAAATGGATAAAATTAAAGCTAAGAGAAGAAGACTAATAGGTCAAATGGATGAATCATTTGTAATTTAACAGTGAAAGTTTAACTAGTAAAACATACATTTGCATGCATAGGATTAGAACACTATATGTTAAAATTTAATATTGTTCAAGACCATAACTTGATAGTGCACGAAATTATGAGTAATCTCATCCATATGACACTCACAATAGCTCCCATTATGCAGACTAAACTCTCCAACTCTTACGAATATGATCGCCGATGTTTTAAATAATGATGATAAGATTTAAAGCACAAGATCAATGTTTACATACCAGACATTCGTCCATTTCTACAAAACCAGACATTTAATTTTTACAAACTTCACCTACCAACTTGTTTAGTTACACAAAATACCCTCATCCTACTAACCCCTCTAGTTCCAAAAGCTCCATATACTCTTATAAGCCAATCAATCCCACTAGCTTCTCATACTTAGGTTGCCAAGGATGTTGCCAAGCTATTTCTTGCAAAAATCTTGACCTCGATCAAGTATGCAAGCATGAGTCAAATTATTGCCTAATCCTGAATCAAACCTAATTACCAAACTTAGGGATAGAGTTGAACAGCTACTAATATTGTTTCCCAACACCTTCAAATGGAGACACGAGACGTCTCACAATTTCGAGTTTAGTTACATACTCTATTACTAATTTACGAGTTTTTGTCCATAGCAAAGGGCTTTGTTAAGCAAAAGTCGTTTCTAACTTTGCGTGCATGTTGGCAGAAGCACTACCATCTTCCAACTCTTCAAAGGAGAAGCTTCTTGTCCACATTATCACAAACAATGGGGGAGATTTGAGGTTGTTCAAATTTTAACACATTATAGAAATGGCATGTTCATTTTTTAGCTCATAATAGTAAAATATACGAAAAAAGCAATATTCCAATGAAGGAGATGAATCTATGAATCTATTATATTGAACTTAAGGAGCTAATAATTTGTTCTTATCACATTTTAGCTCCTAAATATCAAATGCCAATCAGGTTGCAGGTCTCCTTTGAAAGAGTGACAAAAATGAATGGCAGAGATCAAAACTATTTATTATCAGCTTAAATTCATCTTAAGATTGTGGAGTATGAAAAAAAAAAAAGTGGAGTGATAAGACTACATTTCTCAAGAGCAATGTTTACATAAAATGCGAAAAACTAGAGAAAATGGGCCCAAAAAGTCAGGATTATGAGCTAAAAACTTAATGCAATCAAATTGGATAGCTTCAAATGTAATTTTGACACAAAACATTGTTTAAATGCATTACTAGAGAGAATAAGAATGATAAAATGTGCATAGTAATGAATTAATTATCAAACAAAATATTTAAGAAAATTTACTCACATATTACTGAATTCTTATGTATTTACATATCTAACAGCTAAACTTAATTTTATACATTCATCCCACCTGACTTATGCATGCAAGTTTAAAAAAAACGCCATTGCTTCTTTTAATGAAGTAGAAAAAGTGGGGAAAAGAAGGTTTTAGTGCAGCTAGGCATTACAAGAGTCGTGGACTTGTAAGAATTATGTTGCCCCTATGGTGAATTGGAGGTCAAGAATTTAAGTCTAGAAATAGCCTCAATGCTAAAGCAAGAAAACAATGTTGGGGCATTGACATACATACCACCCAATTCAAATGTATTTACATTTCTAACACCTAAACTTCACTTTTTACATTTATGTCATCCAAATCCTTCACATCACATAAAAATACCACTATTTTAACTTTCAAAAAGTGAAATACACCTTCTAACGCATAGAGAAGGTGGCAGATATATAAAAATTGATGTTTAGATGTTAGAAATGTAAATACATAAGAATCAAGTGGTATGAATGTAAATCTTCCAACATTGAGTTGGCATATGCAAAACATTATAATGCATGCACTTGTTAATTGACTTTTCTAATCAACACATTAAAACTTTGTTAGGGCTGCCTACAACTTTTTGTGATTTTGGTTGTAAAAGTATTGTGGAGAATCATTTGAAAAAGCAACATTCTCATAATTAACACATTTTATATAGATTTGATTCATAAAAACAGCTTCCAATTTCAAAAAATTAACATGAAAATAGTAGCCAAATAGATGTTTGACAGTAGTCTAAAAAATAAATTAGTTAGAAAGCTACCCCAAACAAATCCTATATTCCTATGTTAGCAAAATTCTTAACATCTAAGGGGGTGTTTGGTAGCACCATTGTAACTGGATTTCATAAATCCAAATTTAGCAAACCGATGCATGTCAAACATGTCAAACAAATTTAACTAGATTAAACTTTAACTGAACCAAACACTATTCCGGATTTAATAGCATCTGGATTTCATAAATCCAAATTTAGCGGATTTAATAAACCCTATTTAACTTAAATCCTGATTACAACCAAACACCACCAAAAAAATAGGAATGAGAAATAATCAATAAAGGACATAGAACCCCTAATCTTGATCTCAAAAGAAAATAGAAGATTATCCTAATCACAATTTCTTGATTGTCCAAGTAAACTATAGCTTTAAGAATTCACTGGATCACCAGCAACAAAAACATTAAGAAAAAAAATCCTTTTTTAAAAAAAGAAAGAAATAAACCTATGATCTCCAAATAAGCCTGCACATAAAATCCAAAATAAAACCAGATAAATACCCAAAATTTAAAAAAAAAATGCAAATACAGAACAATAAACAAAATCAAAATACCCATTTTGAGTTGAGCCATTTGACACCAAAAGGGTTGGTGGGTGCTTTCCCGGCAGAGGAATCTGCAATGATTTGTGAGCAAACATTTGAATATCTGTCACCAAACCGTTTGCTCTTTTGATATCCGCAACCTGAAAAAAAATAAAAAAATCCTCATTTTACACACATTAACATCTAACAAGTTCCCAACAAAAACCGAGAAGATCTACATACACCCCACTTAATTCCTATGTAATTACATATCTAGCACCAAAACTTTAATTTTTACATCTATACCTACGCATGAAAAGGTGCATTTCACACTTTAAAAAGTTAAAATGGTGCTATCTTTTATGTGACAATGAAATATTTATGTGGTACAAATGCCAAAAAGTAAATTTTAGCTGTAAGATACTTAAATATATACGAATTGGGCAGTATGTATGTAAATGCCCATAACAATAAGAAAACTAGAGCAGCTAATCTCTATCAGCAACCTGAAACAAGAAATTCATCAACCACATCAGGAAAGAAATTCCCACAAACTCTGAACAAAAATGAAGAATAAAAATGAAAAACTCCATTAATACAGGCTCTTTAAACAACCAAGCAATCAGTAAACTGCAAAATCGGCACCCTCATAAGAAACTAGCATCGACTAGCAGGAGAAAAAGACAGGGATTAGGGATTCATCATTCATCTCCGTTTTACCTCAACGCCGTACTTTATAGCAACTCCGGCGAGGGTATCCATCTTGGAAACGCGGTGCTCGATAAACTTAACACCGGACGGCGAGAAGGAAGAGGGTGCAGAAATCGAAGCTGAAGAGGATAATATCGGGGACTTCTGAGAAGACGACCCATCAGATACAATGTGAGAATTCGTCGCGCCTCGCTCCGCCTGCATCGCGGGGGCGGGATCTGCTTATTGTCTTCCCTGAAATTGACGATTTAGGAGGGGGGGGGGGGGGAATTTTCAGCAGGGATCTAGAAATTCTCAGCAGGGAAGAAGGAGTGCATTGTCAGGCCCTAATTTTCGTCCGAAATCATAAAAATACAGTCTTGATCAGTGAATCTTGAAGACGAAGAGGGGAGACAGAGCGCGAGGGAAGAAGACCCTTTCACGAAGCATATATAGGGTTTGACTGGAGAATTCGTATCATGCGTATATTTAATTTGTATTTTTTATTTAATTATACTTATTTTTATTTCAATAAAATTTTACAAGAAAATTTTGATTTGAATGAATTTTCTGTTTATTATGTTTTGTTCAAAAATGAATATGCCATATGGCTTTTCATTTAATTTTTATACTGCATATTTACATTAATTTAAATTAATTTTAAAAATTAAAAATTGTTTTGATCAATTTAGATAACTTCTTTATTTTTGCAAATATGTTTTTCATCTATATATATATATATATATATAATGCTCTGAAAATTAATGATAATTATTTAAAAATATATCAACAATTTCTTTTAATAAGTATTTCTTTTCATTCTTATTAGAATTCAAATGAAAAAATTACAAATGATAAACCATCAACAAATTCTCATCATCTGGCACGAATTTCGAAACATTAAAAGGATCTCGAGACAATCTTTCGATCAAGAAATATTCAAATATTAATAAAAAGTCATCAAGAGCTCTGATTTCACCAAACTTACAGTCAAACTGACTGGCTCGATGAGACGTAGCAAATGATATCAAATCAAACTCATATTAAGTCATTAAACCACCCTTGAAAGATTTCATGACATATTTAAAAAGTCAAATGAATGTTGAATCTAGCAAACCTATAGTCAAATAAAGCGTATTAACAAAACTAATCCAACGAGCTATTGATTGCTCGATTTCGATATCGTTAAGGAGTTCAAATTTCTACCAAATGTCGTCTGATCAAATGAAGCTCTTTGAACAATCTGATCAAAGTGTCTCAAATTCCTGCATTAATTACACTTTAACATATGGGGAGAGAAGAGCTAGAGGCTCGAGAAACAATTTGAAGTTTGGAGAAAAAGCTAAAGTCCAACACCACTCCTGTTATCAACAATCATCACCGACTGCCACTGACCACTATTGATCGTCATTGAG